CGCCCGCGACCCCGCCCGACCCCGCCCGGCCCCCGGCCCGCTCAATGCCCAGGGTGAGGGGGGAACGGAGGGCACCGCGGGAGGCTGGAGGCGCCGCCGCCCCGGGAGCTGGGGAAGGGGGGAATCCCGGGTGCCGCTCGGCGTGTGTGGAGGGGATTCCCTGCTCGGGGCGGCTCTGAGGCCTGCAGAGCCTCCTGAGGCCCTCGTGGGTGCTTTGGAGGGGTTTTTGTGCCCTGGGGGACGGTTTGGGAGGGCCTTGGGGCTGCAGAAGGCCGAGGCGTTGGTTTGGGCTGGGCTTGAGGGTTGGAGGGCTCGTTTGGGGGGGGACTCGGGGGTCCACGAGGCTCCGCCTGGCTCCAGCGCCTGGGTCGGGGAATCCTTCCTCTTGTGGAGGAAATTCCCGGCCTGTGGGGTTTGTTAAGGGACACTTCGGGGTTGGGGGGCAGCTCAGAGCTGTGGGGTCCCTACTGATCTTTGGGGGTGCTCTGGGGGTCCCCGGGGGCTGGCTGGGGACAGTGGCGCTGCCCTGCAGCTCTGGGGGTCCCCTCTCCCTGCAGGGCTGCTTTGGGGGGGGTCCTCCCTCACCTGTGGGGTGTGGGGGGGCTCAGTGCCCACCCCCAGCCTTGTGGGGGTCCCCAGGTTCCCCCTTGCAGCCGGTTTTGGGGGGGGGTGTTCAGGAATGGGGGAGCATTTCCTGGGGGATTGGGACAGGGAGGCTGGAGGAGGGTTGAGTTTGGAGTTTGTACCTGGTTTTGAGGGAATTTTTACCTGGCTTTGGGGGGAATTTGTACCTGGTTTTGGGGGAGTTTGTGCCTGGTTTTGGGGTGGGGGGGGGTTGTGCCTGGTTTTGAGGGATTTTAGCTGATTTTTGGGTGTTTTTACCTGGTGTTGGGGGCATTTGGAGCAGTGTTTTGAGGGGAGGGCTGTTACTGATTCCTGTGTGGATGAGGGACAAGTTTGATAAAAGCTGGACATTTTTTGGGGTGGGAAAGAGAAGCCTCGAGGTGGTCTGTAAAGGGAGAAGGGTGGTTTTTTTTGTTTTTGTTTTTGTGTTTAGGGCTGGAAAAAGCTGGGGGGTGACATTTCTCAGGCTGGAGGGGGGCAGGAAAGGAAGGGTGTCCAGGATGTGGTGGTTTTCCTGGGCTGGGAATGGGGGCAGGGCTGTGGGGCCGGTTTGTCTGGATAAAGGGCTGCCCTGTGGGATTTTTTTTTTGGGGGCTGGGAAAGGGGGGAGCCGATGGATTCTGGGACAAGCAACGCCTCGGGGGAAAAAAAAAAAAAAAAAGCCCTGGCGTGGCCCAGGGTGCTGCGAGTGACCTGCGGGAAGGTCTGAGTCAGGGAGGGGCGGATTTCTGAGCCGTGTCAGCTCCGGGCGTGCTTTGGGCTGGGAAGGAGC